CTTTCCGTTTTCAACTGATGTTTTCGTCATTTACAATTTTTTAAAAACATTTCTATCCTTTTCAGTGTTCTTTTTGTTTGATCGACTTCTTTTATTAGAAAAGACTGTTTGATTAAATATAACGTCTATTTCAAAGCTGTTTGATACACAAACTTCTTGGTTTTCACATCAAGGGCTAAAACATAGAAATTCTTTCCAGTTCCAACTCTCGAGCATACTACTTTAAGTTGATCATGAGAAAAGGAAGAACTCTCTAGATTAATACCAACCATCTTAAACAATTGCTCCCCAGCGTTGTTGCTGGACATCGCGAAGGCAACAGGTACAGGTAACTGAAGACGCTTGAACTCAAACAGTATATCAGTAAGAGCCACGACTGTTCCCGATATGAATACATGGTCACTCTTTACATAGCCTGTCAAAATTCTTTTTCTTAACGTACATTAGAGATAGAGATAGAGATTAGGGAATTTTCGATTTTTACAACCTGAGTAGAGTTACGCCCAGTTGCCTTCCTTTCCTTGTTTGTCGCGCCAATCTCGTCTCAATTTTTCTCTAGACTAAGGGGCATGCCAGAGAATGTTTGATGACGCTAGTTATTACCGACATCAAATGCACAAAGAAGTGAAAAACAATCGTCGTTGTTTATATAAACAGAAGAAGATACGGACTTCCATACCCTATACTCATATTCAGTACTTGAATCCCTTATTCGAACTCATTGCCTCAGAAAGCCCTTAACTAACTCTTCTCTTGACCACATAATTTTGATTAGCTGGCTTCATGGAAGCTGATTTCTTACTGGCTTCCGGACACCCAATCAGATTTCGAGGCGAGCGGATCTCAGATTCTAACCGATCACGTCTAAAACCCCCTGCCTCATCATTCTCATGAAAGTATCAGTGTTTGAGTCCATTTTCTTAAGGGCTAAATTCCTATTGGTTGCCAAACATTCAATCAGATTTTGAGACGAATGAACCCAGATTCGAACCCACTACCCCTAAAAACCCCTTGCCCAATTATTTCCTTGAAAGTATAAGCATTTGGGTCTATTTTCTTAGAAGCTGAGTTCCTATTGGTTTCCGAACAACCAATCAGATTTCAAGGCAAATGCGTCTCAGATTCAAACTCACTGCCTGTAAAAACCCCGTGCCCCATCCTTTCCTCCAAAGTATAAGCATTTGGGTCTATTTTCTTAGCAGCTGAATTCCTATTGGTTTCCGGACAACCAATCGGATTTCGAGGCGAACAGACCTCAGATTTGAACTCACGGCCTCTAAAAAACCCTGCTCCATCATTTCCTTGAAAGTATAAGCGTTTGGGTCTATTTTCTTAGGAGCTAAATTCCTATTAGTTTCCGGACAACCAATCAGATTTCGAGGCAAATGGACCTCAGATTCGAACTCACCGCCCTCGAAAACCTCCCGTTTCATGTTTTCTGTGTGTTCACAAAGTGGTATTCAGTGGTAGTTCTATAGCGCCGAATACTGCAATCTGATTGGTTAGCAACATAGGTAGACAGTTCCGGGCGAAGGATCAAGTGTTTTTGAAAAAAAAAAAGTAGACCTTGACCTTTTCCCGGATGAGAGGAGGATTCCTGGAAAGTTTGGTGACCGTAGCTATCACAGGGACTGAATGCATAACGAACAAACAGACAAACATTCTTCTTTATATATATAGATTCAGAATTTTTCTTCGTGTATGTTTTCTATTAAGTCGTATTCTGTAAGGTTTTCAGAAACTCTAAAGTAGGAAATAACGAGTTTTCAAGATTCTTCCATACCTTCAAGACTCTAAGAACTCGTATTTTACTATGACGATTTTGGAATCTGAAAAATTCACTACTTTCTCTTAGCTATTTACTTGTTGATTGATCATCTCACATATTCCTATAAATTGGATTTTGAAAAATGATTAATTTATAACATTCTCATTCGCTGTTCATATATACATTTTTGTGTAATGCATACATAAATAATATGTCGATTTTTCATTCAAGTTCTTCAATTGAATTTAAATAAAAATTTTGATAAAGAATGTCCTATGATAACTGAGGATAAGATATCAACGACATTTTTAATACTTTTTCTTGATGTAGAAGGCTGACATGAATAAAAAAAAAAGTTATAATTCTTTTTTGAGATTATTTCAAACATGTCTATATACGAGAGTTAGAACCGAACCCATCGGTTTTCCGATTGAAGTTATGAAACCGGTCGATTTTCACCACTTTTTTGTGCTGGATTTTTATCCACTTTTAGAGTATTATATTAAGTCTATTTTGCTTCTTTTTATCGATTTTCATAGCTTCAACACCAGCTCTAAACACTGAGTTCATGCGTGGGTGGGTGTGGGTAAGGGTGAGGGTCTTCTTTCACCAACCCTTCATTCACACCCAATTCTGTTTTTATTACTAGTCTCATTGATCGACTATATGTAATTAGTTGACATTCTTTGCAACATAAAAGAAAATACTCGTAATTTCAGCAGTATTTGATAACCAACAAAATTCATAATTGATTTTTTTATTTATTATATATTTACAATTTTACATTAATACAAATATCGATTTCAAATAAATTTTATTCTTAGAGCCACAAATAGAAATTACTTTAACGATTCTAAATATTTAAATAAATAAAAATGCAAGACTTGATTTTCAACAAAAGAATAAATTATTTGCTGTCATCATAACATAATAAGGAAAGCTTTTAGAAAACAAAATTACGGGCAAGAAATGAATAAACAATTCTTTCTTTCTTTCTATTCATTAAATTTTTATACCTACTTACTTCGCACATCATATTGACATCTATATAAATGTGTGTATTATCCTTTTGTTCGAGTCTATATATTTCTGTTCAAATTATAATATTAAATAGATAACGAATATATTAAATTGTTTATGAAAAACATTTTTGTCTGTTACTAATTCAAACAAGAACAATGAGCCAGTAGTATATTTGGCAATTTCCTACGTTAAAGTCAATCAATCCATGACTTATATCTTTCTTTTTCCTCTTTTTATTTTAAATTTCATTGATACAAACGCATCAGACAAATAAAAAACATGACTGTGACCTTTCCTTTCTCTTATAACTGCTTGCTGAATGTACATACTCACTACTATGTTGGAAAAACAACTTGGGAAGCAAGAATAATATTCATTATCTTTATATGTGGTTTTTCTTCTTTCTTCTCATTAAATAACGATTCAATTATTCATTCATTTTCTTTTCCGTTCTTCCTTCATTGCTTAACGCACAGAGCCTTCGTCGTCCTCGTTTCGTCAGTACTCTTTAAACGAATAAACCAACAAGTGACCTTGAAGTGAAAAACAAAACATACACTCACATCCGGGCAAAAAAATATCAACAGCAATAGCAACGACCATATATACATATACATACATTGAGAGAGAGAGAGACAAAACCTTACTTGTTGCATCCATTCACTCTTCCCTTATCTATCTATCATGAGTAAAAAAACTTAACAATAACTTCTGCTAATCTTTTATCCTCTCTATTCATTAAAAATAAACTGAAGAAATCGTTATCATTAACATTGCCTGCTACTAGTGGACCAGTAGCAGCTACCACTAACCATACCGCCATGCTGTCTCGTCCTGTTCATCGTGTTCTACAAAATTTTCTTCTCATATGGCTCGATAACAATATTGATGAGTCGAAAGAAGATTTCAAAAATTTCTTAAAACATCTACGGCATGTTGTAGCATCAATCAAGATATTTATTGATTCTCAAGAATGTATTAATTTTCTTAGTGAAATAGAAAAAGAAAAAGTATTTATGATTATTTCTGGTTCATTGTGACGGCACATTGTACCCGAAATTTATGCATTGCCACAATTGGATTCCATTTATGTGTTTTGTAGCAATCAATCTCGCCACGAAGAATGGACCAAGACAATGTTTAAGATAAAAGATGTTTACAT